GGCTGACAAACCATTATCTAATTACTCTTCGTCATGGCCTTCTTTGCGTAAAGACATTAACACACATACACATATTCAAACTCGAGTATAAATGAATTAGCCAAACCTTTCTATATCCATCTATATCATAATTTTTCTCGTCGTGAGTATATATATATTATATAGGAAAAAGCTGATAAGTTTTTTTCACCTAGTGAAAACTAGAGGCTTCTGCAAGAATAAGTCGCAGCTCTGACGGTGTTTTTCATAGGACGAACGAAAGCTCAGTCCATCTTCAGTCGAAATGTTAAAGAATGTCTCGTGGACTGTACCAACCTAAACGCCGTATTAAAGCCAAAAGGCTGAATAAAAATGCGAATCAGCCGACATCTTCTGGTCATATAGACTTGCGAATCTATTCATCCTGCGTTTTCATACGAAATGAAAGTCTTTGCAACAAAAAAGTTCATCTGCCCTTACCTTAGGCAAACCACCACTCGTAGTCATCTTAATGTAATGGTACCATACATTAAGAGTGAATAGTTTGGTCACAGTAAACGCTAAGTAACTGTTATTAATAAAGTAATTTAATTGATGACAAATACAGGCATAAAATTTTCCAATATTCTCCATAATGAATGTATCCTGGGATTGTGCCTGCCATGTGAGAGATGCTATAGCAAAACCTAACTCAAATGCCAGGCAAAGAATATTGATTAATAGCAATTTGAAAACCAATGTCATTACGAATTATATTTTAAAGATGTAGCAAATGAGGTTAATTTTTAATTTTTCGCCAACCCAATCCGGACTTAATTTCGATAGTTAACTATAGTTAGATAACCTTTCCTATGAGTAAACAAGGTTAAATAGAAAAAGTAAGTGAAAACTATATCTACTATCGAGTTATTAACATTAAATAAGGATCCAACAGCGGTATATCCACGTTGAAGACTCAATGAAGTAAATTTATGACGAGCTTAATTCTTCTAAGGGACCAAACTAAAAGGCAATGAAACTTGTTGCTATAGGACCTAGGTCTGGCAGTGTCCCTTAGCAAGAACAATACAGCTAAGAATGCAGGTTTACATGCATATAGTAAGTATACGCAACTCGCCTGTGGGAAATGTATTGTATGCAACACAATCAAGAGAAAGAATCGACCTGAGAATGGAGGTCATGAAGCCTGTTTGGGCAAAATTTCAGCTCACATGTGCGCGGCTAAGTGATGAGGCTGGCTGAACTTGCGATCGCAGGCCGAGCAGGCATAGGGTCGCTCACCGGTATGTACTCGCATATGTACGGCAAGCCGAGCTGCCCGTGGGAAGCCTTTGGCACACACGGAGCAAGTGTAAGGCTTCTCGCCGGTGTGCCGTTTCACATGCTCATTGTATACGGCCGGCTGTGAGAAGGTCTTAGCACAAACGGCACAGCGATATGGTCGTTCACCTGGAAGGCCAAAATATGTGAATTAAAAAGAGGAAATTGTTTTTTATTTATGTATGTAAAGCATATTTAACAGAGAATAAGAAAGGACAATATAATTAATATATGACGATAGATAGAAGGCTAAATATCCATGTTGGGACCCTTGCATTTACTGACCCAGCTGAAATGTTAAAAAAGTTAGGCCCCGTAACAGTTTAATAAAATTATTAAATCTGAGGTAATCAAAATTATTCTTAAATATATTCTTATCAGTAAGCTAGGCAAATAATAATAAGAGGTCTTTTAGTCATCCATTAAATTCATGTTTTCTATGAGAAACGTTTTCCAAAGATTATTGCTCCCGTTTGCTGATTTAATGGTTTCATCAAGGCCTAAAAGTGATTATGAAGGAAAATAATTGAATAATGAATGGAAATGAAGTTAGTATTTAATGTGTTTAAAGGGATTATTTTTAGGAATATGCTTTGATTTTTACAAATGACGTGAAAACAATTTAAAGGGTGGTAATAAAAGATATAAGAAAATGCGCCAGTGTAGCCCTGAGTCCGATGTGCTGAGCAAAATAGAGTCCCAAATACTCTATTCTCGTCAATAGTTCGGTAATTTATTGGGAGATCTTCTGAAGTTTACAATAGTGCATAAGGCACTTGGTTCTTCATATATTTATATATATGCGAGGTCAAGACAGTGAGCCGAGGGCTTCTTATCATAATCCAAAGTTTATATATGCCTTAAGCCTTAAGTCATTTCGTTTTTCATACATATATATATAAATTTTGGATTATGATAAGAAGCCCTCGGCTCAATGTCCTATGACCTCAAATATATAAATACATATATGAAGAACGAAGTGCCTTAAGCACTATTGTAAACTTCAGAAGATCTCCCAATAGATTACCGAACTATTGACAAGAATAGAGTATTCAGGAATCTATTTGGTTCAGCACATCGGACTCAGGGCTACACAGTCGCATTTTTGTATATATTTTATTGATAGCAGAACTATTGAAGATTATTAGAGGAGGAAGCTTGAATTCCCCTTCTCCATACATGCCAAAAGGCAGAACTGGAATTTCAAACTTGCTAAAGTTTAGAAGTTGTTTGACCATGTTTTCGCAACTTGGTCATTTTGGTAGGAAGACTTAGAGGAACGAACCTAGTCCGGATTCATTTGTATGCATGATCATTTCCAAAGTAGGACCGTGGACGTGGTACATTCCCAGATGTTTCGCCAGCATCGTCAGTGAGTCTCGCCATTCGTAGCACCATAGTAGAGCTCGTCAAAGAGACAAGTGAAGCCTATCCTTTTGAACAAACGTTTGCTAAACAGTTGTGGTATCTCCCCTTCTGCCCTAGGCTATTCACATATCATATATTCTCCTATCACGCCTTCACTGTTACACTTTTTACCGTGCTTATTTCGATG